GGGCCGTTGCCGGAAAAAAAAAAAAAAAAAAAAAAAAAAAAAAAGAATAGTGGTTGCTAGAGACTGGTAAGGGGAGGGGGAATGGGAGATGGGGAGATGGTGATCAGTGGACACAAAATTGTAGAGAAATAGGAAGCATAAGAGCTAGTGTTCTACAGCACTATAGGGAGACTACAGCCAACAACAAATTACTGTATAATTTTAAGCAGCTAGTCCAGAGTATGTTGCATGTTTCCGACACAAAGAGGTGACAAATATGTGAGATGATGGATATGCTAATTACCCTGTGATCATTATGCACAGTGTAAGTGTACCCAAATATCACATGGTACTCCATAAATATATACAATTATCATGGGTCAATTAAGAAAAAATAAATTAAAAAGGAAAAAAAAATTTCAGAGAGAGCAGACTAGAGGTTACCAGAAAAGGGGTGAGGGGGAGGAATAATGAGAAATTATTACTTAATGGGTACAGAGTTTATGTTTAGGATGACCAAAAAGTTTTGGAAATAGATAGAGGTAGTGGTTACACAGCATTGTGAATGTAATTAATTCCATGCAATTATATGCTTAAAAATGCTTGAAAGGGAAATTTTTATGTTATATATGTTTTACAAGAAAAAAAATAAAATAAGAGAAAATGCTGGGTTAGAATCAAAGACATACTGCCAAGTGATTTGGAACAATCAAATGCACACTGGTTTCTATCCTGTTACAAGAGCTGTTAACACTAATGGAGAAGTCGGGAGGGTGTATAAACATCGCGGTGTATAAACATCGGGGAGCGGCAGAGCCCTGCTGGCGTGCCAGATGCTGCTTACTTATTGTTGATCTTTGTCCCCAAGGACCATTAGGCCCTGAGAGACTTGAAGTAACCAAAACACATACCTGAAGCAGACACCAGAATGCTAATGCATGAATTTACGGGGGAAAATATCACTGACACCCACATCAGAAATATAGGACTGCCATCATCTGCAGTCCCTCCTTGAGGTCATTAGGGCAGATGTGGCACATTCTCTAGAAAAGCACCCTGTGCTTGGCTAAGGTTGTTTGGTGGGTATGAAATAAAAAACAGGAGCGTCAAAGGCAAGAAGCAACTAGTGGCATCTGATGGTGGCTGCATCCATCTCTTCAAATAACGTCTTCCTCTGTGGACCTACAAATATCTGAGGTCTGACTAGGGCGGCACTGAAGTGGATCCCAGCAAAGCCTACCGTCTTCTAAGACTCCTTTCCCATTCTTTTCTCTATTCTCTCTTTACTCCCTAGTCTGTCTACTAACCCAGCTGCCATTCTCTCTCCAAACGCCTTTTTTTTTTGGATGACAGTTAGGGATATGCATCCACTTTGGTAGAAAGTAGACATTTATAAATGCTACATACTTCATACTGGTAAGTGGTGTTGATGAGTACATGGACCTACGAACAGTACCAAATCTGATTGAAACTGAAGAGATTTCAATTTAAATAAACTCTACAATTCAGGGCTTCGCAGATGGGAGGCGAACACTAGCACAATTACTATGAGACCGGAAAAGTTTCTAAAAAACCACAGTGAGTCCACAGATTTCGCTCAGTTATGCTAACAGTATGGGCCTCCCCTATGGCACACTGAGAATTAACCATGACCAAGTGCAGAAGGACTCAGGGCCATAAAAACGTGGCCATTGCAGCGGTTAAACTGAACGGAAAGGGAGAGAAATGAAATTGGGTCTACAGGCAGCAGGGGAGAGCCTCAAGGAATCATGCTGAGATGCCGACTTGACTTCTAGAAGTCGCAGGTCAAGGGGTCTCTGCTCCCGACGTCCTCAGGCCATTTCTCCTTCTAGTGCCCTTCCAGCCCCATTCAGATGTGCTCTCCCTCCGAAGCAACTGCGGGGCGACCCCAGTCCGGTCCCTCCAAGCATCGGCCCTGCCTTCTCCACACCACCTTTCCCCACTATTCCGGGGCCACCTAGCTCCTCCGTATCTCGGAGAGATCAGAAACTCCATGTAGGAGCTCCAACTCCAAGGAAGCAGGGCAGAGGGTCTCCAGGCTTCCCCTTCGCCCATACATGCCCCAGGGCGCAAGGTGATCCCTCCTGCGTTTCCCAGGGGCCGGGCTCCTCATCGCTTTCTCCCCCAGACCCAGATGCCCCCTCGGTCCCCAGGCCGCCGCCCGGCGCCCCCGTGCGCGGG